CCAGTGGAGCTCTCAATATTTCTGAGTGGGAACAAGTTCGTGGGGATCTTCAAAAAACTTTGAGAAAGGAGGGGCCTGAAGTCCTGCCAATTGCCATGTTCTCCCTTTGGAGACTGATCAGGGATGCTTTGCTTACAGAGAAAGTCCAGGTTAAGCAGGCTTTGAAAGCAACTAAGCTAGCTCAGCCTGGTAAGGTAGAGGAGCGAAAGATTAAAAAGAAAAAGCCTCCAGACAGGGAGGGGCAAATGAGTCACGGGACAGAGTTTCCTCTCAGAATTTAGGGGCTCGTCCCAAGCTCACAATTTTCACCTACTGGCGTTTTTTGGCAAGGGGGACCCATTTATTGGTTACATCTACCCGCTTCCCCTAAGAAGGTAGTGACCTCCTATTATGAAATGGTGCTACAGCTTCTATGGAAGGCATATGATTTTAGTTTACAAGTTTTTGGCAGGATCCCAAATAAATTTCTAATCCCTTATCAAAAAGAGGAAATAACAAGGCTACAGAGGGTTCAAGATGGATGGACCTTGTTTATCACAACCACTGGAGACAATTTTGATAACCATTATCTTGATTCTCGTTTAATTTCATTTTTTAAGAATCATCCTGTTATCTTTCCAAAAAATATTAAAACTTCCCCCCTTAAGGGAGTGCGTTCAGTGTTTACTGATGGTTCTTCCAAGGGCTATGCAGTGGTGGTCTCTGGTTCAATTAAAGAAAAGCAGCTCCTAGGTCCGATTTCTGCCCAAGCTGCAGAACTCACAGCCTGCCTTATGGCCTTTTCTCTTTTTAAGGATCAACCCTTCAATTTGTATACTGATAGTATATATGAGGCAGGGATTGTTGGGCCATTGGAAACCTCGCCATATATATTACCTACCTCTCATGTTTTCCACCTTTTAGTTCAGCTGCAAAGTCTTATATGCCAAAGAGTGTTTCCTGCCTTTGTTGGCCATATTCGGGCCCTTGGCAGAGGGAAATAAGCTTGCAGATTCCCTCACCCGCCCAATGGCATTGTTCCTTTCTGAGGAACAACGAGCCCGTCATCTTCATGAAAAGTATCATTTAAATGCCTCTTCTCTAAAGTTTCACTCTGGCTGTACTCTAGCTACAGCTACTCAAATCACATCCCAATGTCCAGCTTGTGCTCCATTTCATAATGCCCCCAATGAAGGTGTTAATCCTCGAGGCCTCCGTCCTAACCACCTTTGGCAGATGGATGTTACCCATTTGTCTCAAGCTGGCAGACTTAAATTTTTACATGTTTCTGTAGACACTTATTCCAAGGTAATTTATGCCTCCCTACATTCAGGAGAAAAGATTAAGGACGTTATTGCTCATTGTCTACAGGCTTTTGCTTATATGGGCATTCCAGATTTTCTCAAAACAGACAATGGACCAGCTTATACCAGCCAAAGGTTTGCAAAATTTTGTCAAGAACATCAAATTACACATACCTTTGGAATTCCATATAATCCCACAGGACAGGCCGTAGTGGAGCGCACGCATGCTACCCTTAAACAATTTTTTTGTAAAATAAAGAAGGGGGAGTATATCACCTCCCCAAATGC